GAAGCACCAAGAATACAGAGCATCCCTTGCCCCGGACCTAAGAGAACAAAAAAGAGGCCAATGTTGGGTCAGGCCAAAGGCCCCTCCAGTCCAACACTCTGGGTCACAGAGTGGCCAGAAATACCAGGGGCCCTCAGGTCCACCAGTGGGGCCAGAACTCCAGAAGCCCTCCTACTGTTGCCCCCCCCCCAGAGTCCCTATCTATACCTTGGGCCTAAACAGCCACTGATGGACCTCTGCTCCAGATGTTTGTCCAATTCCCTCTTGAAGCCGTCCGTGCCTGTAGCCGCAGCCACCTCCTGTGGCAGTGAATTCTATGTGTTCATCACTCTTAGAGAGCCAGTTTGGTGCAGTGGTTAAGTGCGCGGACTCTAATCTGGGAGAACTGGGTTTGAATCCCCGCTCCTCCACTTGCACCTGCTGATGTGACCTTGGGTCAGTCACAAGCTCTGGCACAGCTGTCCTTGGAAAAGAGCAGTTTGTGTCAGAGCTCTCTCAGCCCCGCCTATGTCACACAGGGTGTCTGTTGTGGGGAGGGGAAGGGAAAGGAGTTTGTAAGCCACTCTGAGACTCCAAGTGAAGGGCAAGGGGTATAAATCCAATCTCTTCTTCTTTGGGTGGAGAAGTCCTTCCTTTTATCCATTTTGACCCGACTGCTGAGCAATTTCATGGAGTGCCCTTCCCCTCCCACACCCCCTTGGGGGGCTTTGTGGATGGGGGGGATCAAGGACTGCAGAATGGCCCCCTCCCACCTTGGCCTAAGACGGGGCTGCTGCCCGGGAAGAAGACTCTCCGGACGAAGCGGGGGCTGCTGGCAGGAGGCTGAGTGGCCCCGGTCGGAGGGAGGGAAGCGCTCCGGGCTTGGCCCCCCCGCCCCCCTACTGGTTGCTGGTGTTGACCTCCAGAGCCTGACTTCCCTGCAGGACCACGGAGCCCCTTGTGTACCTGCCCGGCCACGACAGCCAGGGGTCATTTCCTGCAGGAGCCACAGGAGCGGAGCTCTGGTGGCAGTAAGGGGCTCAGTGGGTGGGCACACACGACAAGCCCCGCCCCCTGCTCCCAGCAGCCCTCAGTCGGGCCACGAGGAACAAGATGCAGCCAGGTAAATTGCAGAGGGCTCCCCCCCCCCGCCTTCAGGTACAAGCGCCCCTCGTGGTCATGGCACCAGACCGGTGGCCCTCCGTCCCAAGGGAGAGTCTCTGCCTCCCACCCGTGGGTGAAGACCTCCTCGTTTCAGTGAGGCCCTCAACCTCTGTCCTGTTTCCCCTGTGCTTCTAAATCTGTATTGTGGTTTTGGTAATAATGATAACAGTTATCCTACGGCATTGTCTGTAGAATAGCCAGGGGATCCTAAGGTTGTCCGGTGGTCACAAGGTCTAGCTCTTTTTAGCATTACGCACCAGTAGGTGGGGTGCCAGACTTGTTTTTAAGGCAAGAGACATTTCAGAAGAGGAGGAGATTCCACCCCGCCCTTCACTCAGAGTCGCAGAGCGGCTGACAAACTCCTTTCCCTTCCCCTCCCCACAACAGACACCCTGTGAGCAATGCTCCCTCTAAGCTGTGGAGTCTTGTGAGCAAAAATTCTACTTTGTGAGCTACTGGCATTAAAGTTGTGAGCACTGCACAAATTAGTTTGCTCTGGAGCCCTCCTTCCTGAGCCAAGACAAAAATCTGTGAGCTGGAGGCTAAAAAGCTGTGAGCTAGCTCACACCAACTCAGCTTAGAGGGAACACTGCCTGTGAGGTAGGTGGGGCTGAGAGAGCTCTTTCCACAACTGTCCGTGAGAGAACAGCTCTGGCAGAGCTACGGCTTGCCCAAGGTCATCCAGCAAGCGCAAGTGGAGGAGGAGTGGGGGAATCAAACCCGGCCCGGCCCTTTTGCACTGTGAGTGAAGGTGGGGACACTCTGGCGTCTGCCAAACAGCCACCCGAGCTCGGGATGGTCAAGGCAGAGGCAGCATCGAAAAGAAAGCAAACCCCGAACGCCTGGCTGGGCTTCTGTCCACAGCAAACAAACACACACACACACA